CCCCCCTAGCCTCAGTCCAAACCCCACTGCTGGACTTGCTCTAAACAGCGGTTTAGAAACCCAAAGACGCAAAGCAGCGACTCCTCAATGGCAAAGGAAGCTGGCTCTGGCTCTTCTCCTAAGGTAATCTATCTGCGCTTAGTAACTAGTTGCTTTTTCTGAAAGCTTATGACTAAATCTAAATGGTTTGTTTGGTGAAGGCACAGACATGGTGCGATCACCTGGGTCTTCTGTCCTCTGATCTCACCCGCATTCCCAACTCTGATACTCCATGCAAGAGGTTCGGGTTACTTCTTCAATGGTTGTTTTATTTATACTCTGAATTGTTCTTGCTTGCTTTGCTCGGGAATTGGGAATGATTGATTGTTTTGCATCTGGGAAAACAAAGATACACAAAAGAAATGGAGTAGAAAAGTGTGCATGTTGAATGAACTTTAATTATCTGCTAGACCCAAGACCCAAGTGATTGTCTAGTTGAAACTTGAAATAGAAAAGGAAAATAAACTCAACCCTATTTTGAATCATTAGCTTTCTTTTTGTAACAATTTACTATCTAGGTGACCTTAGTTTCACATATAATATATATCTCCCCAAAGGGCAAGAGCCATCATCTAGAAAGACAACTTCGATGAAAGAAGATTTCAAAGTTCTTCTGGCGTCTACCACTTTTACACTATCAAACCCTGAGTGTGTATGAATCTTGAACCATAACTTGTATTTCTAATATGTGGACCAGTTTTGATATACTAGATGCCAGGACCTCAAGGAGACTTGGGTTTGTTTGTCCTGCAAGGACGTCTTCTGTAGTCGAATTGTGAACAGGCACTTCGTTGAGCATTATGAGCAGACAAATCATTGTCTTGCTGCCAGCTGCAGGTACCATTAGCAGTGCTTTCTACAAATTGTAGCCTTAAATCTTTCATTTTCTTTACTTTTCTAGAGTGATTGTTACGAATATTTCTTGGGGTTTTTGCTTACATTTTGAAACAGATATCATCAAAGAATTTGGTGTTTTCGCTGCGAAGCATTGTTAGATGCTCGAGTGATCCCACAATTGCGATCCTTTCTTTCACCCTCCAATGCCTCCAAGGTGAGCTTCTTTGCTTTTGTTATTTTTATCGTCCACATTCCAATCACTCATATACTTTCGCATGTTTAGGATCTATCCTCCTCATCCAAGCTAGAGAACATTGATGCGCTGATGGTTTCTGTTACTGATCTTATATCTAAGCCAGTTCCTAGCTTTGACTTTCGTCCAGCAGATGCGCAGTCGTTGGTTGGGCACGATGAGCTTGCATTGGCCAAGGAGGGACTCCGGAAGATCTTTGATCGTGGGTTAGAAGCTTTAGCTGATCATCAAGTGCAAAAGGAGTTTCTCACTTACTCAGCCATATTTCTATCATACCATCCATCCCCATCAGAGTTGAAGGACCTTTCATCATTCGGGGTTAATCTTTCAGAGGAAACCTCTGCTTTCCTCCAAGCTCAACACAAGTTGAAGGTGGCGTCAAACCTATCAGCCTCAATTACTCAGAAAAAGTTTGTGCTCCTGCAGCAAGCTTCAAAGTATGCTGAGGCGAAGAAAGAAATTATTGCCACGGATGAGAAAGTTGCCAACCTTAAGGCCATGATCAAAGAGTTGGAGTCCCAAATAAAGAATTTGGAAGCTTGTTTAGCCACGGCTGAGAGTGATAGGGAGAAGACTCATGAGGTTTTGGATACCATTGATACACAAGTTACTACTGTGAGAGATGGATTAGTCTCAGACTTAGCACAAGCGTCTGCCATGGAGGGAACGACACGGGCAGCGAACGAGTTAGTAACTCAGCGGCAGTCAGCTTGGGATAGCCTGAGGACTACTTTTGCAAAGCTTTCCTGATGTATATGGCAGTCTGTATGGAAGGGAAGAACACACTGTCAATGCTTTTGAAATGTTAGAGGATGGTCTTCTAGACTATGTTTCATTAACCAAGGCTCATAATTTCGACCTTTCTGTCGTATCGTAAGCTCACTTGGTCACTCGCTTTTGGATATGGAAGTGATCAAGCTCGGCTAATCTTGCTTTGTCCAACTCTTCCTGCATTATGGCTTGATCATTGTTGGATAGAGTTTGGTTCTGATTGTTGATGGCTATCTCCATTTACAAAATTGCATTGTCGTTGTAGCCTAAGGAAAATGGTATGGTTCCATCAAACCAAAAGAAAATTGGCATATGGTTCCAGTCCTGAACTTCTTAGATGTTTAATAGGTCCAGAAGGTATTTAAAGTAGATAGAGCCAAGTCCTTGGGTTTTCTTGACCATAGTTTCTATGAATGTCGTGAATTGTTTGTCACTCAACTCAGTCTACCAATTGATTTAAGTAAAGTCCGTTGTTTCATTGTTGTCTCTCTCTCCCTCTCCTATTTCGTCCTACTATTATCACATTTTCCTTATTTCTTTAATCTTCTTTTAGCCAAAAAGAAGTACAAGAACCAAAAAGTAAATCAAAATGGTTTGCGGTTAAACTGGATTAGCCGGAATTCATGATCAGCCAAACTTTATATGGGGACACAATAAACCTCAAGGGTTATGGTAATGTCATAATCAAATTGACAAAATAGAAAATTAAAATTGCTAATTTGGACAACCATGGAATTGATCAATCTAGCCCTTTCAAGTGTAGAAGCTGTTCATGTACAAGCTTTGTCTACTGCTGCACATGCACAAAGGGCAAAGTCCCGCAAAATATGCAAGGGGGTACTATCGATATGTTTTATCTGTAACTCATGCACTTTTTTATATGAAGTTGATTACAATCAATGCTGTGTACAATAATACCATCAACTCTAATAATTCAACATCTGATCCAGAAAGTACTTAATACATTGTGTCTTCAAATCCTGAAGTAAGTCCTAGTAGATCGCAAGCACGCTGCTCGCACTCTAACTTGCCCCACCTTGCATCAACTCGCTCACAGGGGAAAACCGGTTTGCTAAGGCTGTATCAATAACACCACATTTTAGCACTCAAAAGAATTCAGTTTGTCAAAATGTAAAAATTATCAGGTTCCTCAAAGGGCCACAGATCAAATAGCATCTCAAATTACAGAACCAGGACAGTTGAGCTGGTGCCTGGTGTCAGCCAGACTACCTTTCAAACACTCTGGTGACTTAATCCGATCTTAGCAGTGCAAATAAACTCTAGTATCTGGTCAGAAAAAAACTAATAGCATTGTGCGGAGATTTCTGCAGAACTTACCTTCTGTTAACTGTATTATGCACGTGACATAGCCATTGGGAGAATTCAGCATGTGATCCAGCCTGTACAGGATTTGATCTGCCAAACATGCAGCAAAGATGCATCTATTGGTTCAAAATTATACGGAAGAAGCATTTGGAGATCGTACGGTAAAGCATCTGAATGTCACATTTAATCAATTGATAGCAAAGGACCTATAACGTAGTTGAGAATTATGGAAAAATAGAGAACAAACATGATGAGCAAAGTTAAAATGAAGATGAAATTGTGCACCTGAGAATTTCTTGAAAGTGATCTGCACATTCCTTGCAGGGGTACATTCGTGATAATATTGACATCTGCATAATAAATGCACGCAAAATGAGTTGCTCTAATTGCATAATCCAATTCTTCCACATTATGTATATCAGTTTCACACCTAACAATATATTATCACAGTGGCTTCTTGAAAGACGAAGTCCAACATAGAAAAAAGAAAACATGCCCAACAAATGAATTATTTTAGAATAAAATAATGAGGTTGCACAAAGTTTATGAAGAAAAAACATTTTCCTTCTAGAAAATCCTACATTAAGTTCTGATGAGACTCCATCCGAAAGAAATAAGGATTTAAGAAGGGCAGGAATATTGTCACTCCTTTTTACCTTGCACTCCATATTGTGAGTGCATAAAAATCATAAGATAATCAGTTTGGAGTGCCAGAGGTTAATTGAGGAGTGCTAATGAGCTAATGGTGCTATCCTTTAAGAAAAAATGATTTGCAATCATATTTCCGCAGGAGTAGGATTGTGAAACTCTTCTTAGCTCTTCAGAAATGAACAAAGAACAGCTAATGAAGTAGATTTATGGTCCATTACTATATAATAACTTAACGGAAACCCAACTGAAGCACCAAGTCATGGCATCATTTTAGTTCTGGTACATAGACTAGTTAAAAGAAGAGAAGAGAAGAGAAGAGAAGAGAAGAGAAGAGAAGAGAGAGAGAGAGAGAGAGAGAGAGAAGCATATACCAATTCTTTTACATCCTTCTTCTGTTGCCTTGTTGGTTTATCTGGATACTGAAAGAAATAAAAGTTATTAAATAATTCAATCTACATGAAATGGTTAATAATTACATGCGCATAATACATCATTTTGTTGTGATCAAGAGCAGAAGGTGCAGTATACATAAGTAATTTTCTTGCAAATGTCTATTTTTTAGCTGGTAGTCTGCAGTAGTTATCTTTAGGATAATTAAAAAACAAGATATTTTTGTAAAGCAAGGGGAATGAACCAAGTGACTAGTTAGTTTATAGTACACCAACTTTACTTTCAATTTTGTTCTGGATTCGTTAACAACTTTATTGCACACTGCAAATAATACTAACACTCACTACTTTGTTTACCTGAGCAGCAAGAGTGTGAAGAAAAGTCCAAGTGGCTCTTCCAAGCTCTTCTTTAGTCGAAGGACTAGCCGAATTTCCCTGAATATAAGGAATTGATTCATCATTATCAACAAAGCAATTTCCTGTTGAAATTCTAAATAAGTTTTTGACAGAATAAAATGGCTTGAAAATGCCATGGAAGCTAACTATGGCTACTGGTGCCTACAGGAACTCAACCTGCATACATTTTCCACAACAAAATAATGAATCCAATTTAAAAATCTATAAAGTGAAAGATATGGCATTAGTATACAACTCAACCCGTCTCAGCTAATAAGCCATCCTATGTTGCTGCAAACACAATATCTCAGCCGACCCTACATTTACACACAAAACCCACCAAACAAATGCTTCCAACAAAAAAACATATTTCAATGGGATTCACACTACGTGAATTAGAGAAAAATCCACATGCACTAACACATAATAATCAGCGCTAGACTCGTTCAGGACTTCTATCAAACAGTTACCGAGTTACCCATCTCTCTAAGACAGAAGACAAACAAGGAAATCCAACAAAGGCTGCAACTTTAGATTTAAAACACTGCAAACGAGTGAGTGTAACGATCATCAATGAGAAAGAGTACCTTTTTCTTGTTGATGAGATCGGTGGGCTGGGGATGGGTGGAGACATTTTCTGACGAACGTACTTTGGAGGAGGAAGAGACAGAGAAAAGGCGTGTTTGGGTTGTGGGAGAGGAGTGGTGAGGTTGGCCTATGAGATTAGAGAGTTGGGCTTGAATTGAATTTGAGACTTTCGCAACAGTTTGAAACAGTGCCTGCAATGGATGCTCCGACATTTTCAGAGACAGCGAGACGCGAAGGAGATATGTGGCGGGAAAAAGACGGCTTGTTTGGTGTATGAATTCTAATATGGAATATTTGCTTAAGTACTAGTAAGTAATTAGTCACGATTCAAGAGCCCACTTTAGAAAAGAAAAAAAATATTTAAAAGTGATTTTAGAACTCTCGGGCACCATTTTCTTACAAGCCGATTTTTAAGGGCAATTTCTATCTATAGGTTAGAAAAATCGCTGTAGGATGGTGTATTAGGTAACTTGTTACGTGCAATTTTTATTTTTTTCTAGCAGAACTTGTTACATGCATTCTAATGGCACCTCTATCTATTTTATGTCCCTTGTTTCCGACCAACTTACATTCACATAATCAACGATCACGTTGGGGGACCATTGGGTCATTATCATCTCTCATCAATCGTCATATCTTCCACATTATACATGCCATATTCAGTACGCAATCCAACACAATGGCGTATGGGAGCCAGTGTCTTGACATCCCAACATTCCACATAAATATTAGCCTCACGTGACTCTACAGCGCGTATGCAGCGCATCCAAAGTCAAAGATTAGACTCGCCCACAAATGAAGGATCCATTTTCACCACTTCTGTGGAAGGAAGTGGCTTTAGTTTCTTCCAAGAAGCAAAATAGGAAGAGAGGGTTCATAGATCCAATCCAACACCTCTGTTGTGAAAATCGTGCCACACCAAGTTTGGCAAATCCTTCAAAACAGGTACTTTCTCTGAACAAAATCACCTGCAGAAACTTCCTTGATTGTTTTTGTTATGGGTTTTGATGGAGCTTGCAGGCTACAGTTACAGCTTAGCATCATGAAACAATAACCAGATCTAAATTTCAGGCATAACCCAGTTCATTGAATCCATTAGGCTGCTTGGTATTGGAGTTCAGATATTTTTCCCTTTGCTGTCTGTGGATGGCTGAAGAGGGAATAGTCAGTGATGATGCAAAGAACGCAGCTGCAAAACCAAACCCAAAGTTGACACTTTTGCCTCTAATAGCTCTAATTTTCTATGAGGTTTCTGGGGGTCCTTTTGGTGTAGAGGATTCAGTCAGGGCTGGGGGTGGCCCTCTTTTGTCTTTGCTTGGTTTCTTGGTGTTTCCTTTGTTTTGGAGCATCCCAGAAGCTTTAGTGACAGCTGAGCTTGCCACAAGCTTCCCTGAAAATGGTGGATATGTGCTCTGGATATCAGCAGCTTTTGGGCCTTTCTGGGGTTTCCAAGAGGGCTTTTGGAAATGGTTTAGTGGGGTTATGGACAACGCTCTTTACCCTGTCCTATTCCTGGATTACTTGAAGCATTCATTTCCCATCTTCAACCGGTTGATAGCTCGAATTCCAGCTCTTTTGGGAATAACATTCTCATTGACATACTTGAACTACCGTGGACTACACATTGTCGGGTTCTCTGCTGTTTCTCTTGCGATTTTCTCACTTTGCCCGTTTCTTGTAATGGCGATTCTTTCTATTCCCAGAATAAGGGTTAAGCAGTGGCTAGTTGTAGACTTTAAGAAGGTGGATTGGAGGGGATACTTCAATAGTATGTTTTGGAATCTGAACTATTGGGATAAGGCAAGTACCCTTGCAGGGGAGGTTGAAAATCCAAGTAAGACATTTCCAAAGGCGCTTCTCGGGGCTGTAGTTGTGGTGGTTTCTTCATATTTGATCCCACTTCTTGCTGGAACAGGAGCTTTAAACTCTGCCTCTAGTGAGTGGACTGATGGGTACTTTGCTGAAGTTGGGATGTTAATAGGTGGCTTTTGGCTTAAGTGGTGGATTCAAGCAGCTGCTGCAATGTCTAACATGGGGTTGTTTGAAGCAGAAATGAGCAGTGATGCCTTTCAACTTCTTGGGATGAGTGAGATGGGAATGCTTCCGGCTATATTTGCTTCAAGGTTTGTAACTCGTATGCTTCATCTCCCTTAGCAACCTCAAGGAAATGAACCTTTGATGGCATATTTCATCTATAAACTTAATTGACAGATTATTTATAATTTATATCCCAAGATTCGATAGGTTCAAAGAAAAGGACCTTTTGCTTCCAAATTGAGTCCGATGCTATCTGACCTTAGGTGCAGTGTTGATGAGCACTTACCTGATTGTTTGTTTAATTCCATCTTGTAGGTCAAAGTATGGAACACCCACTGTTAGCATTTTGTGCTCTGCTACCGGAGTTATCTTCTTGTCGTGGATGAGTTTTCAGGAAATTTTGGAATTTCTTAATTTCTTATATGCTATAGGAATGCTTCTTGAATTTGCAGCTTTTATAAAATTGAGAGTAAAGAAGCCAGACCTTCATCGACCTTACAAAGTCCCCTTCCAAACATTTGGGGCAACAATGCTTTGCCTGCCTCCTGCATTGTTGCTTGTTCTTGTTATGTGCTTGGCTTCTCTAAGGACTTTCTTTGTAAGTGGTTGTGTAATCATTGTTGGGGTTTTGTTGTACCCTCTTTTAGTTCATGCAAAGGATAGGAAGTGGGCACATTTTGATGCAGAACAACCTGCTGAGCCTCCCCTTAACTGTCCGGCTGGCCATTCATCGGCTTCGCAGTTGCATCCAGAAGATGCAGATGAGGCTTCAGTTGGCCTTCTCACAGACTTGTCACCTGATACAGAACAAGAACCCTCCAAATTGAGGTCAGAAGAAGTCTTGAAATTAGAGTAGCCAGTCCTTTTCATACTAACTTTCACAGGTTCGCAAAGCTATAAACGAATGTATAATTCTTTACCATATAAGCTGTAATTCTAATACATGCAATGCAGCACTATGTGTTTGAAGTGAAGTGTTTGAAGCTGTAATTCTTTTTGTTATGTGTTTGAAGTTGTTTTGATGCATTGGTGTTCGTCTGAAGTTAGTTTGTGCAAGATGAAAACTGGGTTTGAAAACTGTACATGCTTTCAGAGTTTCGATTGCCTTGAAAAGGTTATAAAGTTCTTTTGCAAAGGATAGAAAAATGTACAATAATCATCAAATGCAAAACCCAGATGGTCCTCTTTGTTGGCATCTCAACTCTACAATGTCCTCGAAGTGAAGTCAATGAACCACGCTAACAATTCTAGGCTCCTACTTTATCTATCCATAGCGAGCTGCTCACCAGCTGCTTGTTTTGCACACAAGCGAATATTTGTTTGAATTTGGCTCGTTTGGGAATGCTTCTTTAGGAAGCACATGCTTACAAGTGCTTCTAACAAAAGCACTTTTATTATAAAAATGTTGAAATTTTCTTAAGAAATTCAAGTGCTTCCTATGCTTCTCCATAAAGCGTTTCTATAACCCAAAAGCACTTCAAAATTATTCTACCAAATGTTGTAAAAAGCGTTTTCAATTGTCAGAAAGTGCTCTTGGCTCTTCTAGAAGCACTCCTAAACAGGATCCTAACTATAGTGTAGCATGTTGGTGGGTTTAGAACCAAATGATGAGGCTACATTTGACGTATGAATGGATGAGATTTTGGCCTCCAACTTTATATCACATAGCAATTACATTATGTACCTCAATAAGATTTTGCATTTGATGTGATGATTTATAGCTTCCGAGGTAAAGTATACCTAGAGCTAAAAAAAATAGTATGAATTTATGCTTCCCCTCTCTCTAAAAACAAAAAGAAAGATCAAAGCCAAATGTTTGTCCTTAAAAATATAAAACTATATAAGAAACTAAAAATGAAACAGGTTTTTTTATTTTTTTTCTCTCTCTTCACTAGAGGGGAGGTAAAGGAAGGAAAAACACAAGACAGTTACAAAAGAGCGCAAACAAACGGGCCCTAAACAAGTCTTTCACATCTCTCATACTCAGAAAAACGCACGTGTGGCTTTTACAGAAGAAGGTTCGGAAAGCACACAAGGCCCTTCATCTTAATCCTTGTTTGGTTAACAGAAGTAGCTTCAAGCATTGGCCTTGTTTCACTCAGGTGCGTCTCTTTGTACTTTCGTTCTCTGGTCAATTCGCTTTTTGGGTTTTGATTTCTTACCACAATCTCAAATTGGTTTCTGCCAATTCTGCAAATTGTTGCTGAAATCTATCACATTTGCTCTGTTTTTGTTTCTGCTACTCTTTCTTTTCTATTTTTGAATGTCGTAAAGACATTGTAAGCTTTATGTTTTTCTGTACTCATGATATAGTCCATGTTCGAGATGACATTTATATTATTTGAGCAAAATTTGTACATGGGTCTTGTTCATTTTAATTAAGAAATGTAGGAATTTGTTTTCTGATGCCATTTTGGTGAATATACAGATGAAAATATTGCCTGGAAATAAGGGTTTTAGGTTTTGAGTTGAAGATCCTGCATTCTGTCATCTGGGTTTCGCTGGAGAATTCGAGGTTTCTATGTGGATCTGACTTTGGTGAATTATAAGACAAGAAGTGGAGGGAAAAAAGATGTTGCCCAATCAAAGCTATTCCCGTATTGACACTTCAGAGCTAAAATTTACAATTGTACAAAAAATTGGGCATCAGAGAGCTGAGAAATACTTTGATCTGACCAGAAGATTGTTTGGTTTGAAGATTAGCAAGTGTGACTTCAACAAATTCTGCATTCGGACTATTGGGAGGGAAAATGTCCATCTTCATAACAAGCTTATTAGGTCAATTATCAAGAATGCTTGCCTTGCAAGAACTCCACCATTGACAGGTATTAGGAAAACCGGAGGTGCCCTCAATGCTAAAGTTGCAATTGGCTATCAGAAGAGTTGTGCTCAACCAGTTTACGGGGATGCATTTCCTCAATGCCCTCGCAAGGGCCGGTCTGCTGTTAATCGAGATCGTAAGTGTCGGGACCGCCCAAGTCCTTTGGGGCCAAATGGAAAGCCTCAAAATATTGCATATGAGGAATTGATTTCCAAAGCACATGAGCAGCAAAGTCCTACTGAGTTGCTTTCTCTTGACAGCAGGCCTCCCATTGAAGTTGCCTCTGAGGATGGAGAAGAAGTTGAACAGGTTGCAGGGAGCCCAGCTATTCAAAGTAGAAGCCCAGTAACAGCTCCCTTTGGTATATCCATGTATTTGGGTGGATCACGTAAAGCTTTTCCTAATGTATCAGTGTGTGGTGGTACATACCACCGTGAAACCTGTCAAAACTGTGGTGAGCTACCTGATACAAAATCGTTAAGAAGTCGTTTGGAGCGTAAGTT